TTTGGTTTGTGGTAAGTTTAAAACATCATGTTAGCTGAAGTTGTTACAATACCGGGATTTCACCATTTCTGTTTTGTCCGTTTATAGGCACAATAATGCCATTGAATTCTGAGTCATTTAGCTGTTCATCTCAGACTTTTAAGAGTTGTAACTCGATATTTGGCAAAGGAAGTGACTTTTCTAAGCTCTCTATAACATTGGGAACTTGGGCAGCAGGGTTTCGACAATACTTTCCTGCAACAAAATGTTCATGATCACTGTTACTATAGAATCATATTTTTGGAAGGAGAATTGAAATTGGAATAAATACGTTTATGGAAAATGTATCATTACAAAGATTACGTTCGTAAGCTTTGCTAGTAGGAAACAATAAGCATATAATCAAAACATGTAAGAATGTTTAACATATCACATTATTTAGCATTGGAAGGTCATTAACAAGAAGAATACTCCAATGCTTTCTTAAAGAAATTTTGCCATCACAACAATTACGTTTTTTGAAGTTGTAGCTTAATTAAGCTTAAGCGACAAGCTCAGTTTTACAAGTAAGAACCTTGCAATAACAAAACAACTGTTGAACAATTATATTTTGATTCTTTTTTTAAATTGTACTATCACAAAGATAAAGTTTTGATTTTAAATGTCCAAAGACCTGAATATTAAAGGCTGGACAGCTGCTCTTTCAATTTTGTTAGCTCTTTGATTTTCAAAATTTCAGACGAAAAAAAGGGAATAAATTGGATTTTCCCTTTTAGATTTGGATTGTGTTTGGGTATAGAATCATATTTTTGGAAGGAGAATTGAATCGGGAATAAATACGTTTATGGAAATTGTATCATTACAAAGATTACGTTCGTAAGCTTTGCTGTTAGGAAACAATAAGCATATAATAACAACATGTAAGAATGTTTAACATATTACATTATTTAGCATTGGTAGGTCATTAACAAGAAGAATACTCCAATGCTTTCTTAAAGACATTTTGCCATCACACCAATTACGTTTTTTTAAGTTGTAGCTTAATTAAGCTTAAGCAACAAGCTCAGTATTACAAGTAAGAACCTTGCAATAAGAAAAAAAACTGTTGAACAATTACATTTTTATTTTTTTTAATTATACTATCACAAAGGTAAAGCTTTTAATTGTGGTATTTAGAGGCTTCTGATGAAAAAGAAATTTTTAACATCTTACATTGGTTAGCATTGGTAAGTCACTAAAAAGAAGAATACTTCAATATCTTTTTAAAAAGTGTATCATCATAAAATTACGTTTTGAAGCTGTGGCTTTAATACGGGACGAGCAATACAAGTGATAACTTTGTGATGAGAAAGCAGAACTGTTCAACAATTACACATTGATGTTTTTAGAGATTGTACTATCACAAATATAAAGTTTTTTATTGTTATTTTATTATTTATAGAAGCTTCTGATAAAAACAAATGTTTAACATCTTATATTGGTTAGCATTGGTTAGTCACTAACAAGAAGAATACTTCAATATTGTTTAAGAATTGTATCATCATAAAATTACGTTTTGAAGCTTTGGCTTTAATAAGAGACGAGAAATACTAGTAAGGACTTTGCAAAGAGAAAACTACTGTTTAGCAATTAACATATTGTTGGGTTACCCCCGACGTTGTTTAGAAATTGTACCATCAGAAAGATCATGTTTTTAGTAACTGTGCTATTTAGAAGCTATAAGGATGTAGTCACAACATTAATCTTGTGACGAAAAAACAACTGTTTAACATTTCATATTGGTTAGCATTAGTAGGACATTCACAAAAAGAACCCTTCAATGTTTTGTAAGAAATTTTACCATCACAAAATTACGTTTTTAAGCTGTGGCAATACAAGTAATAAGGCCATTGAGATGAGTAAAACTAAACATTTCGCCTAACCAATCAATGTGTAATTATTTAGAAACAAGACTGGCAATGAAAACATACATTGCCATGGTGACGGTGCTTCATGTTAGGGTTATTGTTTGCATGGCACTGCCATCGTTTCATGATTTTGAGCAAGACAGATACAGTGCACTCCTCCCCAGAGTGTATAGTGAACGAGCCCCTGGAAGGCAGGTCTTCTGGGTCTTCCCAAGGGTTTCCAGGAATATGGGCATAGATGTGGGTCAGGTAAATGCCTGTGGACATTCCATTCCTGTGGACAAAATGCCTGTACAATGCCTAGAATTCTTGCGAATTGCACACAATACTGTACCATTAGGCTCCTCCCTGAGACGTCGCCAAAAAAAATTACACATTGGTTGGTTAACCGCAATGTTTTCTTTTAGAAATTGTACCATCACAAAGATAAAGTCTATGTAAATATGCTATTGGAAGCTATAAGCATGTAGTCACAACATGCAGTCACAATCTTGTGACGAGCAAAAAATGTTTAACATGTCACACTGATTAGCTTTAGGAGGGCACTAATAAGAAGAATCTTGCAGTCCTTTTAAAAAAATATTGTACCATCACAACAAATGTGTTTTTTAAGCTGTGGTTTTAATAAACGATAAGGTCATGTTTATTTGATTTTATGGATGACATCCACGCGAGCATAAATTTTCCTCCGTTTCCAAAATATAAAAGATTTCGACCATGCTGTAAATCGTACAAAGTAGCTGCAAGCTCAGCTTGAAAATGGGCTAATATATGCTTTAAATTAAAACAAAAATATTGGATAACGATACTTATGTCGCAGAATGCCAAAATCCATTTCAAAGGACAAGACTTTGATGCCAATAAAATAGTGAATATTCATTTGTTCAACCTTCATGGCCACCTAGATTTCATTTTTTTATTCGCACTCTCGCATCAGTTTTGGGGTTCCCAGTGGATGGTATCAATAATATCAAATTAACATGGCCTTAAGGACCAAAGAGAATAATCTGATAGCATGTGTCGTCAGTAGAAAGCGGGGAATGCTAGTTCACTTAACTTTCAAATACCCAAAGTATGAATTTTCTTTACTTTATCTCCAAATGCCACTGACAAACGGCAAGCCCACACACACCAAACACACACAAACCAAACACTCACAAACTCCAACAAAAATAATCTTTTTTACCTTTTTGCTGAACATAACAACTTTAAATTTTACACCGAGTAACATTAAAAAAAACTGTGCCTGACGAAGGAATGTGTTCCACGAACTCTAGTTTTATACTTCAGCAAATTTGTTTGTAGCCTCTTTAGGCTACATGTCGCACTATTTTATAGGTACTTATGTTTTATCAATTCCCGCAATCGGTAACTGAATATTCTTACCAGGCCAATATGAGAACTATAGGTATGCATATATCATCCAGAAAAGACCCTAATAAGCCACAAAAAATCGTAGAGTCTGCTGGGGCGTTTATGTATTTGGTACTTGTGCATACAATCTGCTGCTATTAAAATATCACTCACTTATCAAATACCGCGATCGGGGTCAAAGTACAGGATTGCTAGACAGCAACAGCTAAGTCAAACAATAACATGTTGACCATAACATAGTCTACTCTGATGTATGACTTACAAGTATATTATGCTCTACCCGGTCGTCAGGGGTGCCAGACTATACAGTGCAATTTTACGGAATACATTGCATTTTTACAGAATACAGTGCAATTTACGGAATACAGTGCAATTTTACTAGTATACAGTGCGATTTAACGTAATACAGTACATTCGTATTAGTATACAGTGCAATTTAGTATACAGTGCAGTATTACAGAATATAGTGCAATCGTATTAGTATACAGTGCAGTATTACAGAATGCAGTGCAATCGTATTAGTAAACAGTGCAGTTTTACTAGTGACGGTTAAACTCTATAACGTCTGATAAACATGCTGTTAAACTGTGTTCCTCCAGTAATTCAAGGCGATGTTTGTCCTAAATGCTCCTCATAATGCCACATGTCCTGTGTAGTGCTACCTACGAGAACGGTCCAAATTCACAAAAACCGTCAGCGGCGTCCGCCATCTTGAAAGTCACGTGATTCAACGTCAATAGTAAAATTGCACTGTATACTAAAACGAGTGTACTGTATTCCGTAAAATTGCACTGTATACTGATACGAGTGTTCTGTATTCCGTAAAATTGCACTGTATACTAGTAAAATTGCACTGTATACTAATACGAGTGTACTGTATTCCGTAAAATTGCACTGAATACTAGTAAAATTGCACTGTATACTCTGGCACCCCTGGTCTTGTGACTTGTTGTCAGTGACGCAAATCGATTAGCTACTAATGTTGATTTAGTGAGAAACCTGTCGGCATGAGTGTTTGGTTACCGTCACCTTCAATTTATTGTCATATAACAGGAAAAGAATCACTCCCGATGAATCCTGCAAAGTCTTATTTAAAACGACATTTTCGGCAATATATCTACAGTCGACCGATGGTATTCGCAGGTCACTTAATAATGACTTATAATCACCATCCAACGTAAGGCCACGGCAGGTACATTTCATGGATAGCATCCTCCACAGACTCCAAATCTAATGCGATAGGGCGAAGAAAAAAATTATAGATTCCTGCGTTTTCAAATTTTGACAAAACATAAAATGATATTATATTGTCTCCTCTCTTTTATCTGGCATTCACGTTCAGGCTTGGCACCAGATATCTTTGACCATTTTCGGCATGATGACCCCTGTCAATTTTTTTTTTCTCAAAAAATTGGAAGAAAATTAATGCGAGCGCTAATGTCATCCATAAAAAATACTTGCTGTGGCCTAAGGATAGATTTTCAGTCCAACATACGGTAGGTTTTGATCTTCTGGCGTTTAATAAAGTCGGACAAAGGTCGTAGACAGTGTGTCGCCGCCTAATTGCCTTCCTTACCATTATGTATATAGAAATAAGGCTTGAAAGAAACATAACAAGTTTGATCCGGTTGTGTTGGTATAATCAGTAACCGGATGACCGCGTCGGGTCAATGTCACAGGCAAAAACCGTTACGTACACATACAGCTGCGCATGTTGTCTGCATTCTGCATTCTACAAACATGGCCGTACTCGTCGGCTGGATAATTGAGTCCGTCTATGAGATGTTACACATATCTGGACTTACCCTACAGTCCTTTCTCGTCTTCTGTACGGCCTTTTTTCTGGCGTGTTTTCTTTTGAAGCGCCGCAGAAACCTGCCTCCCTACCCGGCAGGACGCGTGCCTGTTCTCGGGCACCTCCTCGCCTTGGGCCGAGCGCCTCACCTCAAGCTAACGGCGTGGAGGCGGCAGTACGGGGACGTCTTCACTGTCAGGATGGGGATGGAAGATGTGGTGGTTCTGAACGGCTACAGTGTCGTCAAGGACGCGCTCGTGGACAGGTCCGAGCTGTTCGCGTCTAGGCCGCCAAACTACTTGTTTGATGCTGTCTTTGGTTTCGGAAAGGGTAACCATTCCTTTTTTTTTTGGTTTAGATATCAATTCAGTATTTTTGTCCTTCTACGCACTACTAGTATAATAGTTGACTGTTAGCATACTACAACATAGATTATTTTTGGTGAGGAAGCAAAGAACAGTAAATAGCAAGATTTGTTTCCTTTAAAGGCGGTACTGCGATGAGATGTTGGGCATGCCTTCGGAAAAAATGATAGCCATACCGCCGTAGGCTAGAGCAGACTTTGAGAACTTTCTCGGAGACTATCTTGGGACATTTGATAATTTAAGCCACAATTCTCAAAAGGGGCACAGAAGAGCCGCACTACTGTGATAACTTCCGTAGAGTCCACTTTTCATACTAGTATCCATATCAATAAGACGTCTTCCTTCCACCATTAAGACTTCGCCACTGCACGTTGGGGGACCGAGTTCAAACAGAGAAGGAGGTTCGCCACCGCCGCTTTGAAGAACCTCGGCATGAAGGTCGGAACTGGCAGCATCGATGAGAAAATCCGAGAGGAGGCGAATTGTCTCCGCAACAGGGTAAGATCAGATCAACGCAAAGTGTTGCCCCCCTCCCCATTCTGTCTCTATCTGTATGTGAGTCTGCACTATTTTAATTCTAATAAAAATCTCCCAGTTTATAAAGCCGTGCACTACCAAAAATGCTTTTTCTTGTTTTTCTTATTTTCTCATGGGAAGAAACTTTTCTTTGGGGGAGAATAATAAGAAAAAAAATAAGAAAAAAAAAATTCTGTATACCTACGTTCTTGCACCAAGAACAATTTTCTCATTTTTCTTGAGTGGAGATAATAAAGTAGGCTTCTTTAAATCTTAATTTTTCTTTGGTGAAGAAATATTTCTAGAGGAGATTCTAACTTACAAGATTAGAATTCTTGTAATCTTGAAATTTCTTTAGTAAAGACAATATTTCTAGGGAAGATTCTAAGTTACAAGATTAAAATTCTTTTAATCTTAAAATTCCCTCAGACTTAGTTAAATTTTCTTATTTAATCTCCATGGAAGATTTCTTTCTTACCTGACATCAAAGTTGTCAGATTTAAGTTTTTTTTGTGTTTGTCAAAATATTTCTAGTTCATGTTACCGAGAATGATTGAAAAGTGTCATTCTTGTTTTTCTTAGCAATGTTTAAGAAAATACAAGAATTTGGTTCTTGTCTTTCTTGGGAAACACTGATTGGATAAGCAAGAAATTTAATTATCTAAATCTATCATTAGAATAAAGCTTTGCTTAGTGTTTCTTTCTTAAAGTTTCTTGTTTTTCTTGACTAGAAAGCTTAAGAAAGATCATTCTTGTTTTTCTTGGCAACATTTAAGAAAATACAAGAATTAAGTTCTTATCTTTCTTGACAAATACTGATAAGAAAAAAAACAAGAAAGTCTGATATAAATTTATCTTTGATTAGGCTGAAGATATGGCTAGTATTATATTCTTAAACATTCTTGATTTTCTTCCCTAGAAAGTTTCAGAAATGCCATTCTTGTTTTTCTTAGCAACATTTAAGAAAATACCAGAAAGTTTGAGAAAGATGATTCTTATTTTGCCTGGTAATGTTCAAGATGATGTAAGAACTTTTTTCTAGTTTTCTCTTGTCATGTGACCTTTTCTGAACCCCTGATTGGTTGATTCAAATCCCAGAATGCAGTTAGGAGGTTTTGAATGTAAGTCAGATGTAGGAGCCGCGCTGGTTACTTATTTTTGTCAGTTACTGACTCATGTCAGATTTGAAGTCAAAATCAAATTAAAAAGGACCTTGTGTACATCTGAAGCAATGGTGATCGTGGTCAGCTTGCTGAAGAAACCAACTTTGCAACAGAAAAAGCATGAAACCAAACAGATTGAAGGTAAGTGCGCCCCCCTCCCGGAACCTCAATTTCCCATCCAAGCCAGCCTAGCGGGGACCAATAGGCGGGCAGCATTTCGTCCACACCCACAACCCGCGCTTTAGCAAGATATGGTTGAAAAAGATGTTTATTCAACTTGTTCAAAAGATACATTTGTAAATTGTTTTCTGAAATTCTGTGGGCGTGGCGCGGAATGCTGGTTACCCATTGGTCGCCGCTAGGTTATGTGGATGCGAAATTGATCCAGGCCCCCCCTCCCCACCTATGAGATCTGTTGACATTGTATTTAGACTTCATAGCCCAGATATTGTTACAACGCCATTTGGGGCTGATTTCAAAGTCAAATCATATATTTCTGGTGTATTGTATAGTAAAGTTTATTACAGTGCTTTCTAATATAATTTTAAATTGTTTAGTCCAAGTAATTAAAATAGTATTTTAGCATCCTCTTTTGAATTGTTGCCTTCAGTACACGCATGCAAACTAACGCAGGTCTTTCCTGTTGTTTTCAGGTGTCCAAAGGGTGTGACTTTGCCAATTTTATAATGCGAAAACTTCAGTTTTTGCTGAATATGTTTCTGATCAGAATGTGATACGATTTGTATTCTGAAATCATAATGGCTTGTTAGTTACATCCTATAATATTCTGAAAGCTACTGTTAAACTGTTTCCATTCCAAGAATGTTGATGGACTGATACTTTTTAATTAGATACATAATTAGTACAAAAATCAATGTGAAAATAAAATCTCTATACTGTCCAAATGCTTTTCAAAATAACATTTAGTTGCTATACATTATTGTCCGTTTTCTATTTAGGTAGCACTATATACATTGTATTTCTTTTCTTGTGGGCAGAATGTAGTTAGTGTTGGAAATTGAAGCTTAGTCTTTATTTAGTAACTACATGTTTGTGTTTACCATAGCCCTGTACAATGTATGTTTGGGACCACATTGTAGATATTATTCTCTTTAATTGTACATATATGTAAATACTTTGCCTTTTGGAAAGCATCCGTTAGAGCGACACTGTACATGACTGTGAACCAGCCAGAATTGCCCTGAGGCAGGTGGCAGACGGTCACCGAAACGTCTACTGAGACTTAATTATTTAGTACATTTATTTAGTACTTATTATTATTTGAGGCAAGAAAACGTGTTAAGCGAAAAAAATGGTGTTAAACGTAACTTTGTGTCATTAGCTTTTTTTAAGGACAGGTTATTTTTTCTGAAATATAATACTGGAAAAAATAAGGTACGACCCCCCCTCCCCCAGCTAGCTATCCCATTTTTTCACCAAAAGGTAACTCTCAATTCTCATTCTGGTAAAAAAAAAATGGGCTAATACCCCATATAGTCCTTTGTTGCGTAAAAGAATCTCATCTTTCAGTGAATTAACAACCTGATTCAGTGATGTGTATAAAACACAAAACAACATTTATCTTCCAAACATTAAGATGACTGAATACGACGGAAGGCCCTTTGACGTATCAAACGATCTAACCGTAGCTGCTGGAAACGTCATCTGCTCCATGACGTTCGGAAAGCGCTACGACTACGAGGACGAAACTTTCCGTGAACTCGGGAAGGCGATCGCAAACGTCATGGCTGAACTTGCAGCTGGACAGATCTTCAGCGTCTTTCCTTTCTTACGGTTCGTTCCTGGAAGTGAGTATCATTAATGTACTCCTTTAGACTGAATGTCCATTATGTAACTTATAACTAATGGAAGGTATGTTTTCCAGACATTCCTCAACTTAGTAAGTTGTCTTAACCATTTTCAGAACAATATTCACAGACCAACGAAATAGACAAAGTTCAATAAATCCTAACCCATGTAAAAGACATTTGCCTTTATCTCAGTACACTGGTTCATACATTGGGGGTACCTAACTGATTACCCCCCCCCCCTGGGGGTCTTCCACTGTAGGCTGTTATTGCTGTCAAGACCAAGAGTTGGCACCTCAAACTAAACGTGCATCGGGCGGACTGTTCGTGTGCTATCAATATAGGGCTTATTCACCACAGATGGTCACGTGACTCTTCCCCCGGCAGTGAGCATTGTCCGCCATTAGGGGGTGCAGCCTGGTGCCTATCACTATGGTACGCTATGCAAACTCTTGGCGATAGTTGCGTGTTTTGGGCCACAATCTACGTTTTGAACACTCTTCTTGTTCGTAACATTGTCCTTGGGGTTGTTCTGGCTCCATGACCACGTCTCATGTTCTCAAGATCGGCTTTTATCGGCTTTTTTTGCTGATCAGAAATCGGTGTGTTTTACCCTGGCGTAGGGGCCTGTAGATGTCAACGTGGGTAGCCATGGCCACGTATCTGTTGGAGCTACCTGTCCTTTTACTCTGTGGTAAATGTCCACGTAGAACAGGGCCCTGGCAACTTGTAACACTCACCTTGTTCAGCCACAGTCGCGGCAGTGCGGACTGTGGATGGCGGCCGGTCGGCCGATGGCCCCGCATTTGTTTGTTATTATCCAGACACAGTCCGGGGCTGTTCCAAAATAGCGACCTTTGCGTATCCCGACAGTCTACAACGTACTTCACCACGAAACTGCACGTCCCACAACACTCTCTACACATCCTGATACAACGATCAAATCAAATCAAACGCTTTCAGACTCTTAAAGGGTTTGAACCGATCCTGTGTGTAAAAACTTCTGCCCCGTGAGTACCAAATACGAAGCTTAGTCGCGTCAATGGACTCCGCTGGCGGTAGACGCCGTCTCGATCAGACTGATCAAAACTCAACAAAAACGGGTCAATCCCAACAGATTTTATTTTGTTCCAGTAACGAGAGGTATGAGTGGTGGTAAAGTCTTCGTGTAATATGACAAAGGACAGTTTACCTAACGTTTGTCGGCCATTTCAACGCTTGGAAACTCACTGTAGAGGTGGACCCCAAAATGGCGTCGCACTGGACATGAGGGGTGGTGACGTCATGATGACGTGTGGTGAATAAGCTCTATAGTTTTCATCTGTTTATATCCTGTTCTCTGTTTTCTTTCCAGTAAACAGGACCTGTAGGGAAGTACTCAAACAGAACTCCAAGATTCACCGAGTGTTGTGGGACGAGATAGCCCGCCATCGCGAGAACCTGGATCGCGAGAACCCGCGAGACTTCCTTGACTTCTGCCTGCTGGAGGTTGAGAAGCAGGAGAAGGTGGAGGGTCTGACGGAGGAGAACGTCCTGTACATGGCCTCGGACCTCTTCTTTGCAGGAACTGACACAACCAACAACACACTGTTGTGGGGTCTGCTCTACATGACATTGCACCCCGACATCCAGAGTAAGGTACTGGTCAGCAGAATATGTTACCCTGTTGCTCTATCTCAGACTCATCAAAGCCCTGATCAAATCTCTGGAAATTGATAATACTTTTTCTAATATTTTCCTTCATTTGCATTTCCTCAATAGCCGCCTAACATTCTCATTTCTTGCGACTTCTAGAAAAGTCACACGATGTTTCTTAAAATTGGGTCAATACAACTTCACTTAAACAGGTGCAGCAGGAGCTTGATGCCGTTGTTGGTGAGGGTCTGCCCACCCTGTCCCACCGTTCCCAGCTGCCCTACTTGAACGCCTGTCTGCTGGAGGTAATGAGGATCCGGACCATCGCACCTTTCGCGATTCCCCACGCCACCACAGAGACGGTCAAAATACAGGAGTATGACATACCCAAGGGAATCAAGGTATTTTTTTACCTATTATCAGGTTACAAATTCTATTTCTAAGGATGCAATCCCTTTCAAGTAGAAGAAAAGATTCACCGAATTTGAAATATTATTCTTATCAATTTGGAGTTTGTGTAAACATATCCACGTATATTCTACGATGCAGGTACTACCGAACCTGTACTCCCTCCACATGGACCCCGCCTACTGGCCTGATCCGGACCGGTTTGACCCCGGAAGGTTTCTGGACGCGGAAGGAGACGTCATCAAGAAGCCTGAAGGCTTTATGCTTTTTTCAGGAGGTAGGGTCATGGTAGGGCGAAGTGATATAATGCTATAAAAACTGTATAGAAATTATTACATAGTTCCTATTCGACGGAGGTTGTTTTAAGAGGGGCAATTCTTTTTTTCAAGGCCGACGTGTGTGTCTTGGGGAGCAGCTGGCCAGGATGGAACTTTTCCTGTTCTTCTCGACCCTCCTGCAGTCCTTCACATTCAAGACGCCAGAGGGCGCCCCTCCCCCAACCACTGACGGCGTCCTTGGTACGACGTTAGCCCCGCACACGTTCAAGATCTGTGCGATCCCGCGTTAGTCTTTTTTTTTGCAATAGCATCTACATTAATGCCCCCTTGCACATTCAAGTGAGAATCATGGACTCATATATTACTTATAGTTACTTGGTAGGGAAATTACTGACGATGCTATTAATTCATACCAACGCCGAACAAACCAGCCCCTTTACAGCCCCGTTCCAGGAGTAACCAGATTGACATGTACGTGAGGAACATGAAGTTTTGTCATTAAAAAACTGTCCTTTAAGGCACGTAAAGCCATGTACAGCTTAAAATCTCTTACCCATTCCTCTGTCTCCCCAAAGTTTTTACTGAAAATATTTGATACTTGTATTAAGCCAATTCTTCTGTACGGATGCGAAGCCATAAATGACAATTCACCAGTTGAAACTACTCACTTGCGTTACTGTAAGAACATACTATGGGTTTTTAGAAATAGTAGTAATTTAGCATCTAGGGCTGAATTGGGCAGACTGCCATTAGATATAGATATGCCACTACGTGTTATAAAATATTGGTACAAATGGATTGTTATAGGCATCCGCTGCAGGCTGATGCTCTTCTATTTCAACAAAATGCACATTGTCAGAGAAGAGCATTGCTACAGCGTGTGAAAGAAATATTAGATTCTAGTAAATATTCCTATTTGTTCTATTCATGTAACTCTACTTGTGATATCAAATATGTATGCACCATGTTAAGGTTAAGTATTTCTGATACTATTTCCCACAAGTTAAATATTGATTCTGGTAAGCTAAGGTTCTACAAAAAATGTAAAACAACATATTCTATGGAAAAATACCTGGACTTAATTGATTTTAACAATCGCTCTGCGATAAGTAAATTACGAATTAGTGCACACCCTCTCGAAATTGAGAGAGGGCGGTACAAGAAGCTCCAAGTATATGAACGAATTTGCAAACACTGTACGTTGAATACGGTGGAAGACCAAACGCATTTTATATCAAATTGTACCCTCTATAGCAATGAACGAAATGAACTCTTAGACGTAGCCTCCAAGTTTTACCCAAATTTTCAAACATATACAGATGAAAAGAAAACTACTCTCCTTTTAACATCCGAAAACCCACAAATTATAGACGAAGTGGGATCCTTTGTGTTCCTCTGTCTTCAAAAAAGAAGTCAAACCCAGTAATAGTTTTTACCAGTAGTTTCTTAGTATCAGTAGTTCTATATGTACTAATTGCCTGTTTTCATACCATGTTTCTTCTGTTCCTGCAATTAGCCCTCGGGCAAGAATTTGCACTAAACAAACTGCTATTAAAACGGTTCAAACCTGCCACGATCTTCTCCCGCATAGAGATGTGCCCATGCCATGTTCGCGGATGGATTTTGATGAAGCGCGCAGTGATGGGGCCATTGTATTTCCTTAAGTCATTGAGGACCCCCGTGTCTCTGTCGTGGGTCCCCGAAAAAACCTGCAGCACATGAAAAAAACATAAAACATTAGAACCATTCTAAAAGCCATGTACGATGTTTCGAAAGAATTCTAATCAAAGAATTCGCGTGAATACCATTTTTTCGAAAAGTTTCAAAATGTTTGTAATTTGCTAATTGTGTTAGAGTATAGGCCTGGGGCAGTCTAGGCCGGTCCACCGTTTGGGCCGGTATATTGCAATATTGCCTTTTATAACAATGTTATATAATCGTTGATATGTTTTTAATCCATGTATTTGTAATGATGTTTGATGATGATTTGTAAATGATGATGATTTGTAAAATGTCAACGTAATTCAGACGTGTCTGAAGCAATTCGGCACGTCTGCCATGTTGATTTGGAATAAAAGATTTAAGGCCGCACAACACAGTATTTATGGGCGAACCCCGTAGTCAAAAGTAGTCGGGGCACAAAGTAGTGCTGCAAAATACTAGAGAAAGGCACAGAGATTGTTCTGTGCATGGCATCGATATGGGACCTGGGGAATACGTCAGTTTTGAGACTGTAAAAGTTGAATTATGGTGAGTGTTCAGTCGGGGTATATTTGCGCTTGGATACTAGTACTTGTACCGCCTAGTACTGTGCGTCGGCTACAGCATGTACATACGTGTTCCCTGGGTGGACTGGCCCACTTTGCCAGGGGGTAAAATCCTAATATCATTTCAATATTTTGACCGTAGCCCACTGAAACACCGGAGTCAACCTTCCGATATTTGTGCCAAAAGAGAAATCCAGCTTTGCAGTGGGGGTAAAGACTTGAGGTTTAAAATTAAGGTAAATGTGTTTTAAAGAGCTTGTTTCTAGTGGTTTTAGCATAGAATTCCAACGGGATGTTTTTTGCTGGTTCCTGCCCTGAACTAACTTGCTGAATAGGCAGCAAGGAATACGGAGTTCTTTCCGGTTTATGTTGTGGCCAAAATCACATCTTTGATACGGCTAACCTTTAATAACAGCCTGTAGCTATTTGAGTAGCGTTAGTTGCATGTCGGTCTAATAGATAAGAAGGTAAACCTGCACATGACATCTAGCGAAATTAGACAGAAATGCAATGAACGATTGGTGGGAAGCTGAGTAAGTTGTATTTCTATCACATTCCTCTAGGTAGCGCTCCTATTCCATCCAGCTGCTACATTTTCAGCACCAAGTCTGGGTCCTTTGACTAAACAATGCGAAAAATGAAAAAGCCAATTTATAAGACCTCT